CACCTGACAGTTCCAAGACAGCCGCTTTTATCTTTCAGAGCCGAGAGGAATTCTGGGCTCCCCAGTCCCAACTGATGAAGGGTGGCCAAGCATTTGCCAGACAATAGGTCCTTTACCAAGAGTCCTGCTCCTTCCCGCAACGCAGAGAAAGACACTTCTGATCCGGTTTAAGGAGCTACTGGAAATCTGAAAAATAGCACCAAGAAATCAAAATCTTCCTCAGGGCCATCCAGGGACATGGTGGTTAGGGACACCGGATTCCCACATGGTCGGCCGTGGTTCAAGTCCCGGACCTGGCAGCTTGTTTTCTTGCTTTCCCTTTTCTCTGTCTCTCTCTCTGGTCAAATTTTAAAAATAATAACAACAAATGGAATTAAATGAATAATTCTTTAAAAAGGAAGAAAGAAAAAAGAGATCTCTCAGGGCCATCCAGGGACATGGTGGTTAGGGACACCGGATTCCCACATGGTCGGCCGTGGTTCAAGTCCCGGACCTGGCAGCTTGTTTTCTTGCTTTCCCTTTTCTCTGTCTCTCTCTCTGGTCAAATTTTAAAAATAATAACAACAAATGGAATTAAATGAATAATTCTTTAAAAAGGAAGAAAGAAAAAAGAGATCTCTCTCTGAGTTTTAAAAAGGAAGAAAGAAAAAAGAAATCTCTCTCTGAGAAAAACTTCAAGTGAAAAAATTAAAAGTACTGGAAGTGTCCCAGGAATGAGGCGTGTCATACTCATTTTTCTTTTTTTTTTTTTTTTTTTTTTTTTTTTTTTTGGAGAGATTTTCGCTATAGGGCGAGTGCGTTCACCAGACAGACAGAGAGAGACATAGAGACAGAAAGCAAGAAATCACCCCCCCCAGGGAGGATGGTCACGCCACAATCCCTTCTCCTCCATTCTCCTCTCGGGATCTTGGGCACGCATGCACACGCGCCCGGCATGAGTTTAAAGTCACCAGGTCCGGGACGCGAACCATGGTCAACTATGTGGGAGTCCAGCGACATAGCCATTACGCTAACTGCTGTTCCCCACTCATTTTTCTTCTAAAAGAGCATGGTACAGTGAAAATAACCATAAGCAGGGACTTGGGGTTACGAATGTTACTCCAGTTTCTGTCACTGATTTTGCTTCAACCTAAAAAGCCATTTCAGTTCTCCAGGCTTTAGTTCCCCCTGCCCTAATATTCAGATGATCTCTTCTTTGTCTTTTTTTGTTAACTTTATTTTTTTTTTTTTTCAGTTTGACCAGAGAGAGGGAAAGTGAGAAAGCAAGCCGCCAGGTCTGGGACACAAACCGTAGTCAGCCACGTGGAGTCCAGCACTTCAACCACCATGCCACTTGCTGATGACCTCTTCTTAACCACAAATTTACCTTGACCAGAAAGACTTTTTGTTTTTTGGGGTTTTTTTGTTTTTTGTTTGTTTGTTTGTTTGTTTTGGAGAGGTTTTTGCTATAGGGCGCCTGCACTCGCCAGACAGACAGAAAGAGACAGAGAGATAGAAAGTGAGAAATCATCCCCCAGGGGGGGATGGCCACGCCACAATCCCTTCTCCTCCATTCTCCTCTCAGGATCTTGGGCACGCATACACACGCGCCCGGTGTGAGTTTTAAGCCACCAGGTCCGGGACGCGAACCGCGGTCAACTACATGGGAGTCCAGTGACATAGCCAAGACTTTAAAACATCAGTAAGTGATGGGACCAGCAGTTAGTGTAATGGCTATGTCGCTGAACTCCCACATAGTCAACCGCGGTTTGAGTCCCGGACCTGGTGGCTTAAAACTCACACCGGGCGCGTGTGTATGCGTGCCCAAGATCCTGAGAGGAGAATGGAGGAGAAGGGATTGTGGTGTAGCCATCCCCCCTGGGGGGTGATTTCTCGCTTTCTGTGTCTGTCTGTCTTCCTGGCCAGTACACGTGCCCTATTGCAAAAAACTCTCCAAAAGAAAAAAAAAAATTGGTAAGTGTAGAACTAGATGGAAACTTATCACACAGCAGAAAAGCCTTCCAGGTTTACGCCACACACAAGATGACTCCTTTTTTTTCTTTTTTTGGAGAGTTTTTTGCAATAGGGCACGTGTACTGGCCAGGAAGACAGACAGACACAGAAAGCGAGAAATCACCCCCCAGGGGGGATGGCTACACCACAATCCCTTCTCCTCCATTCTCGCAAGATCTTGGGCACGAATGCGCACACATACCTGGCATGAGTTTAAGCCACCAGGTCCAGGACTCGAGCTACAGTCGACTACTTGGAAGTCCAGCGACGTAGCCATTACACCATCTGCTGGTCCCCAGATAGCTTCTTAAGTCCTCTCAGAGAACTCCATTTATCACTTACAAGTCTTTTAAAATGGCCAGAGTGTGTATGAGAGGGAGACTGAAAGAAAGCAACCCCCTTCCCCGTGAGGCATGGTTATACCAATCCTCTTCCTCCCACTTCGTCCTGTCAGGATCCTGGGAACACACGTGAACCCAGCTTGTTTTTCAAGCTGCCACATGGGATCTGGCTTTTTTGATAAGCCAGAGGGCGCAGTGTGCTGCAGGGCCATCCCTACAGAGCTAACTGAATTACGTGTACCAATACTGCCTTACACCCTTTCCCAGACTGAAGAAGTTGCCATGTATACACATCGAGTGCTTTAGGGTGAATTAAAACATAGTCCAAATCATACACGTAAGAGACCTACACCTCAAAAGTGGCACGGTGTGCCAAAGCTAGCCAGAGCCGTGGCCTCATGGCTCTGCCGAGCCCAAGGGAGCAGCTGGAAGTCTGAATCAGAAGTCTTGGGCGGAGATGACCCTCCATGGCTTATCTTGTGTGAATTCTAGAGGTTTACACTCTTCGTATCTCAACCGTTAAGCAGGAATCTGTCTTTAGCAAGTATGGGGGCATTTAAAATGTAATAGTATTTTTTTCTAGTCTTAGTTGGGTTTAAAGGGTTTTGCTTTAGTTGTTTTTTGTTTTGTTTTGCTTTTGTTTTTGACTATAGGGTACATGTACTCACCAGAGCAACAGAGAGGTGAAGTGAGAAACCACCCTCCCCCAAGGGAGATGTCTGTGCCACAATCTTCTCTTCCGTTTTCCTCTTGGGATTTTGGGTACACATGCACACACACACACACACACACACACACCCAAGCCACCTGGTATGGGACTCAAAGCTGCACCATCAGCCATGTGAGAGTCAGCTGCCTTAACCTCCACGCCACCTGTTGGCCCTTTAATAGCAATGTTATGCCTACTTATTTTTATTTTTTTGGAGAGGGTTTTGCCATAGGGCGCGTGCGCTCGCCAGACAGAGACAGAGAGACAGAAAGCGAGAAATCACCCCCCCAGGGGGGATGGTCACGCTGCAATCCCTTCTCCTCCATTCTCCTCTCGGGATCTTGGGCACGCATGCACACACGCCCGGTGTTTTAAACCACCGGGTCCGGGACGCGAACCACGGTCGAGTCCATGGGAGTCCAGTGACATAGCCATTACGCTAACTTCTGGTCCCTATTTCTCAAAGCCAGGTGTTTTAACCACAACTTGTGTGTTGGGGGGGGTGCTTTATTTTATTAGCCAGAGGGCACAAAAGCTCACCAAAGGGAGGGGAAAATGTGCCCCCCACCAAAGGAGCATGGTCACACCACAATCCCCTCTCCATTTCCCTATCCTGCCGGGAATTTGGGCACCCACCCACGTGCACCCAGCATTTGAGCCACCAGGGATGGGATCTAGCCCACAGCCAGCCATGTAGGATCTTACTTCCTTACCACTAGGCCATGGGACTGAACCTGTTGTAGCTTTTTAAAAAGTCTATTAGTTGAAGTAAAACTGAGTAACCATTTAGCTGGAAATTAGGTCAATTTAAGGGCCAGCCAGTGATGTGGTGTTTGAGACAGCCGGATCCCAAACAGCTGGCTATGCAGTTCGAGTCCCAGACCCAGGACCTTGAAAAACAGGCTGGTAACTAACATGAGCACTTGTGCCCAAAATCTCAGAAGAGATGGAGAAGGGACTGCAGTATGACCATCCCCCAAAGGGAGTGCTTTCTCTTTTTCTCCCTTTTCTCCAGTGAGCACATGTACCCTCTGGCAAATTAAAGGAAAAATCATCAAAATCAGGTAAACTTGAAGTAGGTTTCCTAAGATATTTATTAGCACTTAGGGGGTCATAGCCCTATTAGAACAAGAGAATACATTAAACCTCGATGCTTAAGTGTTACATGCTCCACAATAATAGAAAGCTGGTACCGAGAATGAGGTTAGAGCCATTTTCATCGGTCTACTACCGAACTTTAGTCAAGAATTAAGTGTTCGAGACCTCTGTGTAACTGAGGCAATCCACTTTAACACGTTCACTCCTAGGTAATGCTAATGAGATGATAAAAAACTGTTAAGAATCGAAAACCACGTCACTCAGGGAACAAACTGGTGATGCTAAGCTTCAAGAAATACTCTGAACTAAAGCCGAATGGGGAGTTTAAGGGGTTAGCTTTAAAATTCTGAAACTCAAGTTAATTGTTTTTAAAGAAATGTTCGTACACTTTCTTAATAAAACTTAAGTTATTTCAGGGATCCAGACTGTACCCCTAATTACCATCTTCTTACAACTAATCCAGGAAACGTATTAAGACACCTGAAGACGTGTTTCAGCACAGTGCTTCGCTCTTACCTCTACTGCTAATACCAACCAACATTCCAGGTCGGGTTAAACGGCAGACCACCACCTGTCAAAGGTCCATACCCTGGAAGCATTCTTTTGTTCTGCATTTTTGTTCTCACTCACCACCATCAGCTATCAGTAAGAGTGGATCAGAAAAGACTACGTGCCGAGTTTACAGAAACCTTAAAATTCGACGAGTCTTATGTGTGTGCTGCAAAATATGTCATGGGTTTGGAGGGCAGGAATACTTTAAAAGCTTCCGTGTTTGAGACTGAAATCGGGATCCAAAAGGGTGAACAGTTAAACAGCTCCCTGGGAGAGGAACAGTCAAGGACATACACAGAGAGACAATATCCCCAAAGCAGCATTTATTTACCCACTGAATTTCAAAACATTTATTTTTGAAGTCTGGCATTTCATAATCACCCATCTTGATTGACATGGGCTGACACACATGGTGCTGTCAGGATACACAAGAACAATAGCCAAAGAGTTACAAAAAATAAATCCATGATTCTTAAATGCAACCAAAAAAAAAAAAGTTACAAGTATCAAAACTTTAGATGCATTGCATTGAAAAGAAGGTTTGTGCACGTCATAATTTAAAGAGGCAAAACAAGGCGCTACTGAAACCTCACGTTAAACAGTTCATTATAAAGCTGATGAAAAGGAGCAAGTTGTCTCTCTGTATCAGCTTCCCTTAACAGTTTCCATTAGCTGAAGAAAAGAGGTGGGAGGGGTGAATTCATTTTTGCATGCACAAGATGTACTGCTTAACGAAACACTATCAGCTTGTTTTTAATGGATCTTTCAAACATCAGCTGTAGCCTGTGTTGGCTGACTCTAAACTCCTTCATTACTCTCACCTAGATTTCCCACAGATCACTAGGCATAGTAAAATGCCTCATTCAAAACGTACTTCTCTGCACAATTCAAAAAGGGAGCTCCCCTGGGCTCAGAGCAACCATCAATCCAGCAATGCCCATGAAGATTTATCTGAAACTGCTTCCCAAGGACGGGAGGAGCAGGTCTGAGTAGCTGTGTTGCCAATACAGATAGGTTTAGCACTAGATACTTAGTGATTGTGGCAAGGAAGAATTGGTGATGATGAGGGTGGGGCTGAAGGAAGGGCCAGGGACGGGAAGGATCTTCAGTTTCCTTCTCCTGCTTCTTCATCCTGCTGGTCGCTCGTCCAGAGGGTGAGGTTGTCTCGCAGCAACTGCATGATGAGTGTGGAGTCCTTATAGGAATCCTCGTTTAGTGTGTCCAGCTCAGCTATGGCGTCGTCAAAGGCTTGTTTGGCTAACAGGCAGGCCTGCTCGGGTGCATTCTGGATCTCATAGTAGAACACGGAGAAGTTGAGGGCCAAGCCCAGCCGGATGGGGTGCGTTGGCTGCATGTGCTCTTTGCTGATCTCAAAAGCTTCCTTGTAGGCAGCCTCAGACGCTTCGACCACACTGTTTTTCTTCTCCCCAGAAGCTACCTCTGCCAAGTAGCGGTAGTAATCGCCTTTCATTTTCAGGTAAAACACCTTGCTCTCATACTGGAAATCATTGCAGTTCTTGATGAGGAACTTGTCAAGCAGAGCCAGGACATCATTGCAAACTGTCTCCAGCTCCTTCTCAATCTTCTCCCGGTATGCTTTCACTTTCTCCAATTTCTTTTCATTTCCATCAGCCATGGTTTTCTGCTCGATGCTGCTAATGACTCTCCAAGAAGATCGCCTGGCACCAACCACATTCTTGTAGGCCACAGAGAGGAGATTTCGATCTTCGTTGGAGAGAGGTTCATTTAGCTCCGTCACCTATAAAACCCCAAAAAAGATAAAGGTTGAGAGCCAAGTCTACAAATCTTGGAAAGAAACCTTCCCTTCAACATAATCGACAATTCTTCTCAAGCAAAAGGGTTATGGGCCAGTCACTTGAGAATAAACAATACTCGTGGACAAAACCAATGCAGACATGGGGCTTATCTGAGGAAAACCACTCTAACAAGAGAGATAAATACTTGGAACTTAAAATGTGGTAAGGTCTTGAGAAAGCCCCCATTCAGGTCCCACGAGAATAATCCCAGAAGGTAGTGAGGTGACGGCACATAATGGTGAAGAAAATAATCCTGAGGCGTTCAGTTGTTCTGCAGACACTCCGAGCATTAAGACTGCATGATCTCGGGACCAGCAGTGAGTGTAATGGCTATGTCGTTGGACTCCCATGTAGCCAACTGTGGTTCGAGTCCCAGACCCAGTGGCTTAAAGTCTCGCCGGCAAGTGTGCATGCGTGCATTCTCAAGATCCTGAGAGAACAGAGAAGAGACTGAGGCGTGGCCATCCTCCCTGGGGGATGATTTCTCATTTTCTGTCTCTGTCTTTCTGGCAAGTGCACACACCCTCTAGCAAAAACCTCTCAATAAAAAAAAAAAAAGACTGCATGATCTCTTTGCCAGGTGATCAGGGATGCCTAGAGTCTGCCCCAGAGTCTACTTCCAGCTCTCCACTCCACAAAACACCAACCTCACCTCAAATACAGGTTAATATGACAGGGGCTTCACAGATGAGATCCAACACCACAGGGATCTCACAGAAGTTTCTCCCTGTCGTTACTCCCCACTGATACTCCCGGCCCTCCCCAAGTCAAACCGGAGAACAAAGCATTAGTAACAGCAGAGTGCCTCTGGGGAAGGGCAGCACAGCTACGCAGTAAAGCTGACAGGGAGCGTTACCGTGACCTGACAGGAAAGCCTGATGGCCGTCAGCATGGAAGCACCCATTACTCCAAGTGGAAGAGTTAAATGTCAGATTGTAACTTCCCTTGATGCCAACTCCAGGTGAAACAGCGTCAGTTAGTAGAAAGAAGGTAAGACTTGCTATGGGTTGAACTGTGCCCCACCCCACCCCCAACCCCGAGATACACCAGTCCTAACTCCTGGTCCCTGCAAACATGACTCTTTGGCACCTGGCATGTATAATTAGTTAAGATGCAGTCATACTGGATTAGGGTGTGGCCTAAATCCAAAGACTTTCCTTATAAGGAAAGTGAGATTTGGAGACACAGACAGAAGGGAGACACTCACGTGACAATAGGGGGCAGGGACTGCAGTAATGCACCTACAAGTCAAGGAACACCAAAAGTAGCCAGAAGCCGAGAGAGGGAAAGAAAGATTCTCCTGTAGAGGAGAATGAAATGCTCAACTTCTAGCCTCTAGAACTATTAGACTTAGAACAAAAAGCCCTAGTATAAGCCTCAGTGAAGCCATTAACTTACTAAATTGACCTAGAATATTTCATAGATCCTCAAAAGAGCCCATATCTTGGGGCCAGCAGATAGCGTGGTGGTTAATGGTGCTGGATTCCCATATGGCCAACCACGGATCGAGTGGACCCGGCAGCTTGCTTTCTCGCTTTCCCTTTCTCTCTGTATTCTGGTCAAATTAAGTAATAATAATAATAACAACAACAAATGGAATTAAGTAAATAATCCTTTTTTTTCTTTTTAAGAGCCTGTATCTTACTCAACAAAGCAGGGGGATTCCCTAAAACGACCTACTATTAAAGATCTTCCATTTTATTTATCTTTTAATTCCTTTTTTCTTTATTCATGATAGAACATACATATGCACATGAGGAGAGGGAGAGTAAAAGAGTCTGGCCACGCTGTAATTCCCTCCTCCAGTCGGCCAGGCCAGCCATCTGACCCACAGTCACCATGTTAGATCTGCCTCTCTAGAGCACTGCATTATCACAGCACAGTGAAGCTGGCCGAAGGTCTTTAATTTAAAAAAAAATTAAAAAAAAAGAAAGAAACCAAATCACTTAAGAAACCATAAAACACTAAACAAAAAAGCCATACTTAAATCTAACTATCAGGATAGAACTTCACCAATGGCAGAAAGAAGCCAAGTTCAATGGAGAATGTTATCAACAGCATATTCAACTAGACATGCTTAAAATGGTATACCACCACTCGAGCAGTGGAAGATCAGAATATCTGAAACAATGATGATATGTTTGGGGAATCAGTGTTTGAAGAACATAACCAAAAAATGTAATCATTACAATATGTAAAACTCAGAGAACCTTGGGCCGGCAGGTGGCATGATGGTTAAGGCACTTTACTCCCACATGGCTGACTGCAGTTCAAGCCCCGAATCTTACAGCGTTCTCATTCTCTCCCTCTCGTATGAGTGCACATGCCCTATAGCAATAATAATGATAATAATAATAAAATTAAAGTTTCTAAGTTCCCCCCTACTCCCAAACCCCAGACAAAATAAAAATGCCAGCTCTCTCTTCTGACTCCTTAACAGAGGATTCTGTCTCTCCTTTATCTATTCAAAAAAACCAAACCCCACTCCTCAGGGTGTCCTGTGCTGTCCTGTGGGCTGCCTCTACTTCACTCCAGCAGGTTCCTCATTCCTTCTTACACTTTAGCTGTCTCCATACCCAAGGGTCTGTGGCATGGCCATCCTTCCTGAGAAATGATTTCTCAACCCCTACCCCCACTGTCTGACTGGCAAGCACACATGCCTATGGTAAAAAAAGAAATCTAAAAACAAAAACAAGTATGAAGCTGAAGTTTGTAGGTGTCGGGACCAGCAGGTGGTGTGGTGGTTAAGGGCGCTGGATTCTCATATGGTCAACCACAGTTCGAGTCCCACACCTGGCAGCTGTCTCTCTCTCTGTTCCTCTCTGGTCAAATTAAAATAAACAAACAAATAAAATAATTCTTTTAAAAAAAAATGAAATTTGAAGGTGTCTGTGGGTTTCAGAAATTCATACAAGCATATCCTTTCTCCGATGGAATAAAATGCCAAAAAAGGCAACTGAGCAATACTCATGACACCTTCACCAAGAGGAAAAAATCATTTACTAGTATGTGTTTATGTAACAATCATCTGGTTGCCTGCCAGTCTGAATGAATCACTATTAGCATCAGCTGAGGGTGACTAACAACTAAGAAAGCAAATATTGTTCTTAGAACCCCAGCCAGAGCCTAACAAGGAAATAGCTGGATACGTTTAAATATAGTATTTTTAATACTCCTTGGTTATAACTCGGTTAATAAGAGAAAACCTACAGAATGCTTCAAGATAATTTATTACTTGATCAGAACTAAAGAAAACTGAGTTTCTTCCCTAGATTGGACAAGTATAGACCAAGTCAAATCAGATGACAAAAGAGATCTCCGGCCAGTCTCAGTTATGTTTATTGTGAATAACCCCCCATTAACCTTAGTATGAGTCCCCAACACTTCAAACACCAAAATATAGGAGCCAGGAGAACTCACAGCTGCATCACTTATAAGACACTGGGAGGCAGTGTGGTGTAATGGAAAGGACCGTGACATACCAATAGCCCCAACCAGGCCACATTACTCATCAGTAATGATTCTCATGGATGATCATCTACAGAACCTATGAAAGTGACACTGAATCTACTACAGGGGTTTCCAAACGGTTTCTAATTAGGAACATGGAGCAGACAGAATTTGAGAGGAGGGGCCTAAGCAGCTCTCAACGTTCTACTTCAACAGAGTTAGGGCACTAGGACACTCACTCCCACCACCTTGTACCACATAGCGGCCCTCGGCGTAGCCAACCTAGGCGCTAAGTCTTCACGTGGCTACAACCCACCTCTAAGGGGCTGTCCCACCTCTGCTCCTGCCTCCCTGCCTTCTTGAGTTCTTGTCCACCTCCCCTCTCCTCCCAAATCTTCCTGAAAACCTGAAATGAATCAGCACTTACCATCACCGAAGGCCCTTCTACCTGTTTCTTTCGAAAGCTGGACTTCTTGCCAGTCCTTTTACTGATGTCCTCACCACAAAGTCTTTGGCTACACCAACTCCCACCCCCAGAGCAGCCACCTTACCCGTTTTTCCTTCAGGACTGCCCGGCATTACTAAATGTCACAAATAACCCAGCCCGCTGCTAATTCATTTATCTCCCTATGACACCATTCCCTTACTCAAAACTCCCTAAAGGCCTCCTCCCACTATTCCCAAGGCAATAAACTATGTGTTTGTGACTAAAAATAGATCAACTGCCAAAAACAGCACAAGGACTATTTAGGAAAATCTATAAAGTTCTTAACCCAGGAAACATCCAACATCAAAATACTGAGTAGGGGCTAGCAGGTTGTTTGGTGGTTAAGGTGCTGGACACTCCCACATGGCCAATCACGGTTCGAGTCCCAGACCTCGTGGTTTGCTTTCTCACTTTTCCCTCCCTCCTTCCTCCTCTCACTCTGTCCATCTCTAGTCAAATTAAAATAAGTAAATAAAGTTAAAATAATTCTTAAAAAAAAAAATGTGGGACCAGCAGTTGGCGTAATGGCTATGTCACTGAACTCCCATGTAGTCGACCACAGTTTGAGTCATGGACCCAGTGGCTTAAAATCACACTGGGCTTGTGTGTGTGTGCATGCCCAAGATTCCAGAGAATGGAGGAGAAGGGATTGCGGTGTGGCCATCCTCCCTGGGAGTGATTTCTTGCTTTCTGTCTCTCTTTCTGGCAAGTGCATGCGCCCTATAGCAAAAGCCTCTCCAAAAAAAAATGCTGGGACCAGCGGGTGGCGTGATGGTTAAGGTGCTGGACACTCCCACATGGCCGACCATGGTTCAAATCCCAGACCTGGTGGCTTGCTTTCCCACTTTCTCTCTCTCGTCAAATTAAAATAAATGAATAAATAACTAAAATGAAATGAAAAAAAAAATACTGAGCAAACAAAAATGCCACCCCTGGGCTGCCGAGCCACATAGTCCAAGTCGGGGTAACATTCCCCCTACTGAACAGCTACCCCGTCCTTGACAA